TAAATATATATATATACATACATATATATATATATATACATATATATATATATATATATATATATATATATATATATATGTATGTATGCGTGTGTAGTTCCACACATTCGCTAGTGTGCCTCGGCAATAATTGTAAGAAACGTGCATGTAATTTGTGTTTTCTTGAATGATCAGGGTCTTATAAGCACGCATACACGCTTTTCTTTTCTTGATTTTTTTTTTTTAATTTTGGATATGAAACATGTTATATATAGATTAACACTTTTTTTTTTTTGGTATATTGAATAATTTTGATCGTCCTATTACGAGCATGTATCTTCTTCACTGTTTTTTTTTTTTGGAATATCGATCATGAAGGATCAAAATATCCCAATTTGTATGCTTAAGAGCATGTTGGACCGACATCTCCCCTACCAACAGAAACATATTCCGAAAAAGATCAAGACACTGTTTTTAGACGGTCTTGGATGACTTTTGGAAGATGTTCCATAGGAATAACAATAGTATGTTACACGTTACGGATATATGATCAGGTCCATATAATCGATAATGTCGTAAACATATCCCGAAAAACAAATTGTTTCCAATCGTAATTTTCATTCTCATGATTCGGCATGCATATTGCAAGCCAATTCGTGAGGAATATGAGGAGTAGTGGTTACATATAGTGCATACGAAACCCTCAAACCTATCCGTCTTTCCATCAAAATGTCTCCGAGTGCTTGCGGTATCTCATTCCTTAAGTTAATTAACGCTAACGTTACGTGCCATTCGCAACCGTTGGATCGTAATATATAGTTTTCCGTTTGTGCATGCATGGCATCGTCCTCACGGACATCATGGACGGTTTGGCATGAAACGCTCGTCTTTTCAAAAGACTTGTACTAAAAAGTAAAGAAAATTCAACCTTCCATCAAATGCAGAAGCATTTATATGCGGCTGCATATGCTTCATGACAATACCATAACTATATTCATAATCTTAATTATACCCTGAAAAAGAAAAATATAAAACACACCCTCCTTCTTCTTATCCTTTCTCTTATTTAACGCGTGTGTAAGAGTACTTAATCTTCGTTAGGAGTGTTTTTACCATAACTCTCCCCGTATTCTAGGAGCTCCTCCAACAAACTATCATCCAAATACTCAAACTCTATCACTTCCTTCCCGCCATCTCCGCCGTAGGAAGTAGCAGCTGTGGCCGCGGCCGCGGAGGAGGAGGCCCCGCCGGAATGTCTACCCGTGGGGTACTCGTGGGGGAAATTCAGGATAGCCAATGAGCCTCTCATGGCGTAGGCGGCTCGGTCGTAGGCCCGAGCCGCCTCCTCGGCCGTTTCGAATGTCCCAAGCCAAACCCGTGCCCCGTGCCGAGCCGAATCACGTATCTCGGCCGCGTATTTGCCCCACGGGCGCCTCCGTACGCCTCTGTACTTAACCTGTCCGGTGGCGGTAGTTGTGTCGGAGTTTGAGTATCTGCACTTGTTGTTGCCGTTGTTGTTATGTTCCATGTTGTTGTTGTTTTTTTTGTTTCCCTCTCGTTTTTGTGTTATACGATGATTTCTTCGTTGGATAAATTTTTCATCACATGCTGGAGAATTTATACGTGGAAAAAAAAGGGAAGTCTAACGCCGGGTTTGCTTATTTGCCACGTGGAGAATCTAGTGGATGATATGAATTCCAACGTGTGCTCCTACGTAATTAATATAAAATCCATCCCGTTACAAAATTTAAAATTTATTTCGTTTTTGTTGTAAGCGATGTAAAGCACCGATCCATAACTGTAACAATTATTGTATTAAACAAAAGGATTATATAATTCGATCATTTAATTAACCAGATAATTCGTCAGCAGATCATGTGTTCAGTCGTTTTGTGTAACATTTTAATATGATTTTTGAGGGAATTAAATAAAAAACAAAATAGGGAGTGAAGGTCCAATGAATCTGGATGGTCAAGGAGACGGCTAACAACACCAACGACAAAGTCTTCTATCGCCTTTCCTTGCTATTATTTTTATATCATTATTATTATTATTCTCACTTTTTGGTCAATTTTCAAATTAAAATATCACATGAACATTTGACCGCACGTGTGTCCAATCGAGTCAAATCATTTCACGACCATAACAGAAACTCTCGGAAGATATTATATAAATATGTGTTAACCTTTACGTGTACGTGTACATATATATGTATCAATGTATATGTATATGTATGTGTATGTGTGAATGATTAGTTGTGTGAACGCATTGGCCAATGTGGGTTTGGACCATAAAACAAAAATCAGGTTTGACATTGTGGGTCATAAAAAATAAAAAGAATACAAGTAAAATTTGTTTTACATTTGGGGGTGTAATCTTCGTTGACCAAAAAGGAAATTGGTCAACCTCGAATCTTTTTTTAATTTACAACGTGTTTTGGCCAGAAAAGCTTAAAAAAGGTAATAAAATAACATGCTAGGCCCATTATATTGGGTCCAATGTCTATTATTATAGGCCCAATTAGAGGCCCATTTGGCTTTGACTCATCATTAAGAGCGGCGGCGGTTGGCAATACGAAGAGGCAGACTTTCCATTCCACGTGTCTGAATACTATTGGTGATTACTTTTTACACGTTGACCTACATGATCGACTTCGATTTTTGAAAAAAATCGATTTTTTTTTCTCTTACGCCAACTTCTCCGCATTTCTTTATAAATATTTATTTAAATTATAATGCACTAAATAATTTTTAAATATATAAAATTACCATTTTACAGTGAGAATGAATAATATCTGCTTTAGACTCTCAAATTGGATCTGGTGACAAACGCCGAACCATCGCGGCCGCATCTCCGACAAACCCTCTTTTCGAAAAAGCGGACTTCAATGATTCTCATTCGGAAATTGCGTGGGTTACTAAAAACCCCACAATATATTTTTTCTACATTTGTATCGGTGTAATTTAATTGGGGAAATTTAATATTTTAATTCCAATTTCTTTGGGTTTTTCCAAATTTTGCGAAAGCTTCCGTTTCAATCACCCCTGCCCGAATATTGCTCCCATCATTCTTATCTCCAGCCACATCATTAGCTTTTTATTATTATTATTATTCTTTCGAGTTTAATATTTATTTTTTTGGCGTCTCTCCCGAAGAATTTCAGATTCTCAATCAATCTGTATGAGAGTCGGATGAATTCTATGGGCGACTCGAATTTCCTCGACGTCGATGATTTTATTTTGGACAGTCCAAGGGTTCCCTGTTCTCCTATGTACGTTCGTTCCCCTTCCTCTGCTTTTCGATCTGTTTCAGTTCATGCATTTTCGCTTCCTTCTTCGATTTTATGCCTCCTTTCTGGGTTTTCTCTCTGTTTGAATTTCTGGGGTTTCGTTTGTTCCACAGTTCGTGTAGATTCTCGTGAAAAGTTTGTATTTTTATGTTGGATGGAGAAAGCTCATTCAATTTCTTGCTTCAATAGCGTTGTTAGATCTCTGGGTGTTCGTGTTTTGATCGTTTAAAGCGTTCATCTTTTCTGTTTACCAGAAAAAGGGTTCCTTTTTTGTCATAATTTGGTTAATTTGTCGACGTTCTTAAGCTGTTATTAGATTCAATTTGTGGAATCAGTCCATTAATGGAGATGTGTTTTGTTGTCTGATCGTTAGTGGTGGAGCAGAAAACGATGTGGCCTCGTATGTTGCCAGTTTGAGGCAAGGACAAGAACAGTTCTATCCGAATCTCGCAGCTTTTGAAGGAATTTTCCAGGCAGATCAACAACAAGTCTCCAGGTCTGATCCAGAATTCGGTTTCTCAGCTTCTGGCGGAATTGTCCAGCGACAAGAACAAGAACAAGAACAAGTAGTGTTTCGAGATGTATCAGAATTCGATTTCGCAATATCTGATGTAATGTTGCTGCCAAGACAAGAGCAAGATCAGTTACGTGGGGTTGGAGCTCAAATCGATTTCGCAATTCAGGAACAAGAACAAGTCTGTAGCTTTGGATTGGATATTGATTCTGCATCATCTGGTGGCATTGTTAAGCAAGAACAAGAACTAGTCGACGAAGAATGCTCACGAAAGCGGTAACTTTAGATTCCCCGACTTCCCCTTAGACTCTGAATCTTGATGGCTTCAACTCTTGTGTGTTTACATGTTTTTGTTTGTGTCCATTCATTGGTCAATATGTTCTTGTTTGTGATTCTTCTTTATCGGCACGGACTGTATCCACCATTCTTGCTTCTCCTAGTGATAAGATTTCATTGAAACAATCTCTGATTCTCACAGGGGACGCGTCGGATCATGTAGCAGGCCGGGAACTAAAGCATGCCGTGAAAGATTGAGGAGAGAAAAACTAAACGACAGGCATGTAGTCGAGGGTGTTTATGTTCATATTCAAAAAGTTAGTTTTTGATCCGATTTATTTCGTAATCTCACTGGGGAAAATGGATATATGTTTCAGATTCATGGATCTAAGCTCGGTTTTGGAGCCCGGGAGGCCACCAAAGACGGACAAGCCTACTATACTCGATGACGCAATCCGAGTCCTGAATCAGCTCAGGAGTGAAGCTCAAGAACTTAAAGAAACGAACCAGAAGCTTTTAGAAGAGATCAAGTGTTTGAAGGTCGGTATTACCTATATGAATTGCTCAAAATCCGATATCCATCCAGCTGAATGAAAAAACTCGCTTGATGTTCTTGGTAAACGTTTTGAAATAAGGCGGAGAAGCATGAGCTGAGGGAGGAGAAGCATGTACTGAAGGCGGATAAGGAGAAGATGGAGGAGAAGCTGAAAGCAATGACGGTTCCATCTTCTCCGGGATTCATGGCCGCAGCTGCATTCCATCCGAACAAAATGGCTGTTTTCCCGAGTTACGGGTACGTCCCGATGTGGCAATACTTGCCTCCCTCCACTCGTGATACGTCCCGTGATCATGAACTCAGGCCTCCTGCTGCTTAAAAACTCGATCTTCATTTATGACCACCGATCACTTTGGACACCTGGGTAAAGCTTTTTCCACCTGTTCAGATGCTTCTTTATCCTATATATGGATATGGAATCGAGATAATCTTATCTTGGACTGGTTTTAGGAATTGGCAAAGTGTAATCTTTACTGTTGGAATGGGATTTTGAATAAAAATGTGATGGAAAACTCTGATTCTTCTCAATGCATACCAAAGGGATTGACTGTATTCTGATTTCTCTATAGCTCAGGAGTTTGCATACAGTTTCAAACACAAGGGTTTCATTATCCATGCTGACAGACAATGCAAAGAAAAACACAACATTTCTCTTACAAAGATCTTTACTTTTCCTCAAAAACATTACAGCGTCTGAATTTACAATCACTTCCGTTCAATGAACAAACTTACTGCAGCCAACAGATGAACAAAGATGACCAAAAAAAGGTGAAAACTTTGTGCGGAATTTGAAGGGTTAAACATGAGTTAGATTCTGTAATCCTTTCTATAAACACGGTGAAGAATCAAGATTTCGATTTTTTCTTTACCCTTTCTTTCAATACAATACATGGAACTGTACAGTACAGAGAAAGTTCCTTGTTGTTCACCCAGAGGCAAGTAACCAGAGAGTGGTAAGTGAAGAAGTAGCAATGGCGATCCAACAAAGGAAGGCTAAGGCCACTGAGAGTTGGTACCTCCAACACTCTTCTGCAAAACTGCAATGCCCCAAGTCACTGAAGTATAAGACAGTGATGCCTCCTGCTGAGGATGCTGCTGCTAGAGACAATGTAGCCGTAACCTAATAAACAGGGAAAAAAAGAAGACAAGTAATGGATGTTCTGTCTTGAGTCCCCTCAAGAGAGAGTGAAGTAGAGAGAGAAAAGCCGATTACCCAATCTCCAACTACAAAGAGGCTAACCAGAACAGCACTGCGAAGTGCTTTGTTCCTCAGTAAAGCGAACGTGTCGAGCAGTGCAAGGCCGAGGCTCCAAATGACTTGCAAACCCATTGCTGCAATTAGGTAGCTGCCGAGATATGGAAGGTTAATGAGATCTCGAGTTCTATCTAAACATCATGAAAAAGATACTAAGGCATAGCAGAAAAAAGCCTCGATCTTTCTCCTCTTCATATGGTTCGACAATTTTAAACCATCAGGCATCTCCAAACTCGACATTCACTACCCAAATTTCAGCTGAAGTAACACACATTGGCAATTCCTCCACGATGGTTACTACTGTCTATGCCACAAGGTAGTATGGCTGATATTTCGAATAGCAAGAACGTTTCATCTTATGATGGATCGTGTTTTTGCTGCTCGAACTTACACAACCAAAAGGAGAGCAGGATTCATATGCATCAATTGAAGAACAAACTTTTCATGAGCTCACAAAAGTTGTTCCTTCAACCTTTAAAACTCATATAAATGCCCCTTAGATGGATCAACTTCAATCAGGGCTCTTAAACATTAATATTTCACTGCAAGAGATGCTGAAGTTACACATTCTAATTTCTTATAGAAGTATTGATCCACAGACAACAAAAGATCCCAAATTTACCTATAAATAGCATATACCCATATGCTCATAGAGGCATTCGAATTAAATATTGCCTTACCAGAAACCAGATCTTTCCCT